AGAGTGGACTAGATTCGGTGATTGGCCTCTGACCAATAGAATACAGCACAAGTGATGTGAGGTCGCTACCAAGATTTACAACAGACTGTGACTTCTGTCATGCTTGTTTGCTCCCGTGATCCCCCTGCCAACCCTCACTCTGGGGAAGTAAGTTCTGATGCCAAGAGCTGCCCTGCAGAGAGGCCCGCATGAAAAAGAACGAAACAAGGGTCCCAACCAACAGTCACAGAGGAACCGAGACCCTCAGTCAATAATGTGTAGATGAGCTTGGAGGCCGGACCTGCTCCGGTCCAGCCTCAGATGAGACCACAGCCCCAGCCTCCTGAATCCTGGGGCAGAGGAACCCAGCTGACCCAGCCCAGATCTAGGTCCACAGAAACCACAATAACCAACATCTGTCTGGGGAAGCTTTAAGTCAGGATAATGCTGTCACACAGCTATGGGTGACCAACACAGTCTCCAGATGCTGGGGTCTCCCCATCTCTGTCCCCTCCTCCCAAGCTCTCTCCATCCACACTGGTCTCCTTTTTAACCTCCCCTCCAGCCAAATTGACATCAGCCTCCCAGTCTCTGCCTCAGTTTCCCTGGCACACTGTCTCGAGACTTGTCTTTCCCCAGACAAGAGGGCTGGTCCCCTCTTGTCCTCTGGCTGCAGCATAAGAGGTCAGTGAGAGCTCTCAGACCCCTACCCAGTGACACCCCAGCCCTCTTCACAGCACCCCATTTTCTTTTTGCTACAGCACTTGCTCTTTTCCTTCACATGTTTGCTTTTGTGCTTTTTCCCATCTCCCCCTCCAGACTGTGAGCTCCAGGAGGACATTTTCAGAGCCATATGCAGGCCTAATGCCTGGCCCCACCCAGGGTGAGGATGAGAGCACACTTGCTGAATAAAAAGGTGGGAGGATCTCAGAGCTCCCTCCCCGCCTCTGAGCAGCTCACATTGTGGAGAGGGATGCTAGTAATGGGAGAGACATGTTGGGAGGCAGAGGGACACCCAGAATGATCCTGGGGGGCTCACCCAAGGCTCCAGTTGCTCTATTGAGCATAGAGGGCACTGCCGCCCCCTCGTGGCCGGAGATAGCACTGCAGCCCCAGACAGGAAACCCAGAAAACAAAACACACACCTTTGTTCGGGTGTTGTCAAGGTAGCAGCTCTCCTGCCCCCCCCCCCGGGGGGCAAAAGAGCAGAACCTGCCGGCTCCAGGAGTCTCGGAGGCCTCGCTTGCTCCCCTCTTTCCCTCTGCTGGCCCCGGGGTGTCTAGTTCACCCATGAGGCCTCCTCACTCCAACCAGGGCAATGACTGGCCCCACTTTCCAAAGAAGACCCCTAGGCTCCAACAAGGACAGTCTGGTCCCTGGACCCCAGGCGAGTGGTCCAATGCTCTGCTGCTTTCTGCCCCACCCCAGGTCCTCAGCCCCCCAACCCCCAGTCTTTTTTCCGCTCAGAAGGACCTCCAGGAAGGTGAAAGCATTTTCCAAGGTCCTCAGTGGACAGAGGGTCATCAATGGAGACCCATGGCCAACAGACACTCTGAACGTGTGGGACCCCTGGAGTCACCAAAGCCAAGCACCCTAACTTGTAGCGGGGAAAACGGGGGCTTCTCTCCTGTAGCCTCCCCCGCAATACTAAGAAGGGAAGTTCATCCCAGCTCTAGGTGTCCAGAGTGCTGGGTACTCACCCCGTCCTCTCAAGGCTGCCCAGGGATGGCTCCGGCCCAGGCAGATCCTGGGGGTCTTGGGGAACCCCCTTCCCACCAGCCTGGCGTCGCCCCTCGGGCATGTTGCTAGGAGACTGACTGCTCCTGCCCTGCGGCGAAGCTGTCTCCAGCCTCTTTCTTCCTTTTCCCTTGTCACCTCCCATGTCCCGTCCTCCTCTGATCCCTAGGAAGTCTGTGGTGTGCGTGGGTGTGTGTGTGCGCGCGCGCGCGTGCGTGCGCGCATGGGGCGCCCAGTGAAAAGAGCTCCCCGTGAGGGGTGACAGGCAGGGGTCCCGGGATATGAGGGGTTCCCATTCCCAGAGCAAGCCGCGTGGGAAAACTGAGCCACGGCCTCAGACGCAGAAACCCTCCCTTCCCAGGACTCTGCCCATCCCGTGTGCCCGGGTCAGTGCCTGTCGCGCTCCGGGCCTCAGTCTCCCAACTGCACCAGGAGCCGCTGGCCG